GCTACAACAGTAACGACCGGATCGCCTTACGTTTTGTTTGCCTTTCGATACGTAGACACGAGAAAGTAAAGTTTTTGGTGATGCTTTATAGCTCCGTATGAGAGCACAAAATGTGTAATCCTCGGTAATTTATAGCAAGAATTTAGCACATTTTTCGGTACCAAGAAACAAATTAAATCGGTATAGTTATCGCAGCGTGAAGTTAGCTGTACCCGTCTGGTCGCTCTGTATCAGCACAAAATTTGTCATTGTCGGAAACAAATAAGACAAATTTGTTTGCTATACAGTTGACCGTGTCAATTCTTTTTAATATCTCTTTCGCATACCTTTTCGCTTTTCACATTCGCGACACTGATAAGTCGTATGACAGAGGTCGATTTCTGTTCCGCTGAGCTTTTCAAAGCGACTATATTATCTCATTCAATTACCAAAATGAACGCTAAAACGTGGGATTAACAAAATGGGATCGAGACCTGCAAACCATCTCTGATTAAACTCTCGAAAGCTTTTTTCCATTTTTCAATACCTGATAGACGGAAAAAAAGCACAAAAAAAGCGCTGATATGTTTACGCGATGAAAGTAAAATATATGGAAATGTATTCTGGTTGAATGCTTGAGTGTTGTGTTTCAAATGATTATTCCATGATTTGACTAATGGAATAATCCCGTAAAGCGAATGACATCTAGAGTGAGGGGGGTTACAGATACACATACTTGTTAATACGAAAGCTGTGCACTCTAAACCCTTAAACCCCCTTACTTACACATAAATACACATCGCAGATTTACAGCCTTATTAAATTCGCCTAAATTGACATTTCACTCGGTCTTTATAAAACCGCATTACGGGATCTGCTTTTTGATGCATTCCCTTTGTAATGTAATAATTTCCTAATACGCCAGTTCGATTGATCCGTTTCAGTAAAGCGAAGCTTATTGCATGCATTTCGGCGACATCAAGAAAGTGCCTCCCATTGGGGAACGTGTCCATTGTTCGTGTTCGCTATGCTGTGTACGTTCGCTTCCATAGCTACTCGAATATTGGCAGCTCGAATATCGGAAACGTTGTCACATAATCTAAATAAATAATTTCATTAACCGAATTAATTTAATTGATCTGGTCACGAGATCCGACCACAACATAATGGAACAGGTGAAATTATTAAGTAGAATTCGCTTGAGACATGCCTCTATCTGGTTAGTTGTTGACCTATTTCGGGTATATCTAATGTTTATAATGGCCGAAGTTCTTACTTAAGGATTATGTAGAGTGCCTTCCATTCATTGATTACCAAAATCCCATTGGCATTAATTCATAACGCTTTGTATTAGCCAATAACTTGCTTTGGTACATGTTCTCCGTTGTTAGCTAGGTAATACAAACTAAACTTGTTTTCATAATATTATAGCTCCACATTTAACGATAATGGAATACGTACCGCCACATTTAATGCTTTTTTATAACGATCTTTGCGTGAAGATAATCGATTTCTCTTATTTTGGAAACTTGTATTTGTTGGAATATTTGCACTAAACGCAACCCCGACTTTATTTTTTTTAAGCAATTTCGTTCTAAATGGCGTTTTGTGTTACAGAATCTGAAAATTTGGTTCTTGTGTCGACTTTTTTCTTCGAATGGCCTTGGATTCCACAACACACGCATGTTATTTTATTAATTATAAAATTCGTACAAGGAATGGCCCTCCTTTGGTTTATGGTTAGCGATATCCATAAAGAGATCATACATACGTATTTCTAGTAGGTACTTTGAAACGTATTTTCTAATAAAGTTTTCCATGCGGACCACGTATATTTTGTCCAGCCTAGTTCAGTCTCAATGAAGCAGAATACGAGAAGTATACAGAGGGCTTTTAGGGTATTAAATTTAGAAATTTCGAAAAATCCTCGAACACGTCAATTTTGTATTCGAGGGGGACAACTTTTGGAATACAAATGACGAATCGAAGTCTTCACCCCTATACGTAGGGAGCTTAACCCCTAAAATTTTAAATGGAATCCTATGGCAAATGGCACTATATTTCAAAGCCAATTTAATCGTGATTACTAATCTGCTTTGCTTTTTAAATTCTATTGATCACTCTTTAGTTTAAAATAATTAAACGAAATCGCAAAATACAAGTTTAATACCAAAAGTAGGAATCAGTTATAACTCTCACAAATCGAAAGGCAAACAAAACGTAAGGCAATCCGGTCGTTACTGTTGTAGCTTTTCCACGCGCTCCTGTACAACCTGCTACCACTCCCCTTGCTGGTCATGCCGCAACCACGTCACCATATTGCCAACATATACGAGAAAGCGGTCAAGGTTGTTTTTGTTTACAATTTATTTAAACGTAGAAAGTAGCGCGAATTTTTTTGGGCCTTTATCTGCTATCAAATGTAAATGTTTAATTTAGTAGACAGGTAGATGTGATTTATCACCTTTTCTGTGTATCTAAGAGAGATGAAATTTTATTTTTCCTAGAATTTAAGTTTGTTATCTCTTAATATCTGATAACAAATTGATTTGGAAAAATAATTGACTTTTTTTTTGTTGGCCTAGTGATTTCAACTGTGTATGATTGGTTGTTGTAATTTTTATTATTGGAAGAAGGGTTTCGTCCTTAACTAGGACGTGAACAAGAAAAGCGTCGCTTTTTGCCACGTTCAACGCATAGTCACGTTTCGTTGAAGATTTATTCGCTTCTTGCGAGTTCCATGGTTGATTTGTTCGCCGAAGTTTTTTTGTCTTACCGACTGGAGAATTGTCGTAAAGTTTTGCCAATTAAAGGTGCTGCAAGGAGATGTGTTTTTCGGCGTTTCATGAGTTTGTTTCCAACGTGACTCAGTTTGAAGTTGAGTTTTATTATGAACGTTTTTGTCTGTCCGAAGAGAAGATGCTGCGATTACGCGAAGTCCTTAGTGTAAGGTGTCATTTGTGTTATGTAATTTTTTTGTGAACTGTGTACGGATACCTTTTGAATGGATATTTCAATTCCCGGACAAGGATTGAAAATGTTGTTCCCTCATATGGCAATGGCTTCTCACGCCGTATATGTTAATCTTACTATTGCCATTATAATGTTATGCTCATTTTCAGCTATTTATTGACGAAGGACTGCATTGGTTGAAAACCATAGCATTGTAACAAATTGTTACAATCGATTTAACCCCCACAAGGGTAAAAACTTTATAAACATGATAGGTATTATTGAAATTTTTGAATTTAGAGGGATATTAAGGTAGGTTTTTGTAAATTGTATATGGAACTGCGGTTTTCTACCGTCCGAAAGACCACCAAATTTGTTAATCTAATTCAACAAGTTTTTCTGTTTTTTTGTCATCCAGTTTAATAAAAAAAAAAGCGTCATCGTGTGTTTATATCAGCTCTTAGTGCGCCTGAATGTCGCAAAATTCTTATCCACCAGATTATTGGATTAGTAAAAACTGTAAGTAATTAAGATTAATTTAATCGTCCGTCGAACGTCTGCGTGTGTGGTATTTGTAAAAAGCAGGCCCTAAGATACTCTCTTTCAGCTTTGTCAATTTCTGTGTATCCCGAATAAATGTTATTTTCTTTGTTAATAAACAATTTATCGGTTTAATCGAACCCTATTTCCAAAAATTAATAAAATTAAGTCTTTATCACGATTCGATACCCTCAATTTTAGATAGAGAACAAAGATTGTGGTCAAACCAAACCATCCTCTCTATCCTATCTATCCATTCAACCCCATAAAATATAATGTTTAACGGAGAAAGATATTTTTTTCACTTAGTTTATACATAGGCATTACAAAACAGGTAGAATTTTCTTGACAATACGTGTGATACCAGGTCTCCTCTGGGACTGCATAATTCTCGTTTCTACGTTAGCAACGTAAAAAATTATGTTCAACAATTCAACAACACGAGAAAATTGGTCTCTCCACTGATTTGTCGCTTCACAGTAATCTAATGAAGTCTTCATTTGTACCACTCGCAGGACAGTAAGGGAGATATTGCATTGCTTACGTTTGTAACTCCTCACTCAACTATTTTTAAATTTTCTCGTACAGTTTAGCACATAAATAATCTTTTAGTAGATTATAAAACATAACTTCTGCGGCTGATAATTTTACGGAGCTTTACTTTTCTCGGCACGCTTTTGTTTTTCGAAATTAGCACCGAAAAATGCCCGTTTTTTTATTCTAATGATCTTCTCTCAACGACCTCATCTCTCTATTAATTTTCTCTCCGATTGATCCCCACTTCTAATTACCGAGTATTTTTTACGCCCAGAAATGGAAGAATGAGAGAAGTTTGGCCATACCTAATTTTTATTGGTTAGTGACTTTTGTTCAACCAATCCAGAGCTAGTTTTAAAATCGTTAATCATTTCAAGACTTGCTGACGCAAGGTTTCCACGGTCTGATCGTACTGTAAGGTTAAACCCTCTAAACGGCTGTAATAGAAACCCTTATGGAAACCACCAGAAGTATTTAAAAGAACAAAAACGCATTGACAATGAGCGTGTAGAAATTGTACGCCTCACATTGGTGTCCATCATTCAGATTAAAATTTGTCTGGGAGACAATTTTACCTATAAAAAAACACTTCTCCTTCCGGCGGAAAAAATTGAAATAAAATGCTTTCGTATAGGATAGATCTATCTTATTTGCCTTATAAAAGTTAATTTACGAATGAGTATTTATTTTAAAAAGTTAACTATAATTTTCTCTTTTAATCCCAATGCTGTGCCATCCTCTATATAAGGTTTAATATTTGCAACTTCTTTTTTAAATTATTCCCAGCATATTTTTGAAGCTACCTACTCACAAAATGTCCCTAGGAGTTGCATTAAAAATGCCAGAGAAATGAAATGTATATTTCAACTCTACTCGGTACACTTGTAAGTGTAATGAGATGAAATTCACAATACTCAAGTGACACTTGAAACACCACGCCTGAAAAATGAAAGGGGGTGCTTTACACGCGACACCATTAAACTACCTCCATCAAATACCTACACAACTTAATCGAGTGGTTTTGGCTGTACCTCAGTAACAGGAAACCTATTTGTTTGTAATTTTAATTGTTTCTAGAGTACAAATTTAAATCGGGATGCGGTGACATAATTTTCAAATGCGTAACGTAATTTTGTAATTCTCTCTCTGCAAATATTGATAAAGGGGTTGAAAGTATTCAATTATTGCTGACCCAGATAATTCAGTTTCACCCGTAATTTCCTTTAGCGCAACACTCCAATGTCGACTGGATCCGAGCGAAAGGCCTGCCCTGAAACGAAAAACGCGTTTAATACGAAGTGCCCATTTTTGAACAAACCTCAATTTCTCGCCGGCTTTCCTGGACCCATAAATATCGCATTTATGCAGCGGGAGTAATTTATCGGACGGGTCGTATTGGCCGGCGGCGATGCATAGTGCCTTATGTAATTGAAATTCTAAGATGTGTGCCACGAAATAACTAAAGCATTTCGAAATTCACGCTTGCATTCGTAAAATGTTCGGAAAACTCACGAAATATATTGTGTGTCAGCTGGAACGTGAAATTTAGATCCTGGATCAAAATCTAACACGTCAGATCTGGATATCGGCGGTTTTACTTTCTGTATGGTTTCCCTATGAACAAAATTAATCTCGGTTCCATTATTTACTGGAGATTACGCACCTGTATTGCCACCAGTGCGAGTTCCACTTTTCGGGTGGAACCTTTCCACTAAACACGTCCCATCTCCATTTATCTATTAGTAATCCGAAGGGTAGAAAGGCAATTCGTTCTAAAGCCATGTTCATGAGAGCATTCAAATTTGATGAGGGCGTCAGTTGATTGCCGGAAATGAGATGAATTTTTTGCAGATGGGTCGTGGAACAAACGGATAAAGCAATCGTATCGCCGACTGCTTCGTGAAATCCTATTTTTACCGAAAGAATTAAATTGCAATTAAGGAAATTGGGTTATCACCTGGATTAGCGCCGTCCCTAAAGGTTAGAGGTTGATTTTTATACAGTTGGTAATACTGTATGTGCCCCAATTCGTGATGGATCGTAATGAAGTCTTCAAAATTAACTTGAGTGCACATTTTAATTCTATCCACAAAATTAATTAATCGAAATTTTTTGCGGGATTAGTTCAACGCTTGAATATCCCAAATGAATGTTTACTTTGTAATTCGGTGGTATTTTTATATACGCTCGTATGCGAGGGTCGAGTTAATTAGAAGTTAGTTATGTTTCGAAACCCCATACAGCTCTAGTTAATACATTGTGAAGGTTCCACATTAAATATTTACTAATGAAAACATACGGCTAAATAGGATTAAACTTCAAATGTTGAACTCGGTGAGCGATTTATCATTGAAATAAAAACCAACCTAAATTCCCGACCGTTATGAAAATCCCAAGCAGATGCATGGCACATTACATTCCGGTTTGCAGGTTTTTCAATCATAGCTCCAGCGGTTACATTGTACGACATGCTAGTTGACTCTAAACCCAAAGATTGGTAAAATTCGTCGGCAGTTTGGAACATCCCTAACGGCGTGTAACCCTTCCCTCTTAAAGAAGCCGTAACATCGATTATTCCGGCATCCGGGAAAGGTAAAACTAAATCGCTTACATGAATCCAATTTTGCGCCCACATATTTCCTACAGCAAAACAATGTGGTAAACGCATAATTACGATTTTGCTAACCTAAAACGTGGGCAGGAATTAAACCATCCCCAATATCCAGGCGATCGCCGTACACCAACTTTAATTTATTGCGTACGTATAAATGTAGTTCGTCATATAAAGGCTTCACTTCCAGCCAAAGACGTTGTAAATCCTCCTCAAACGTGGGGGATTCAAATTTGCTTCGCCACATTGCTCCTCTGTCACTAAAATCTATAAAAAGGTTTCGCAGCCGCATATAATATTGTAAATTATTTACAGACGAACAAATTTTCAAGGAGAGAGAGAGACGCGCCCTTTTTACTCACTATTAGCCCTTGCCGCTTCGTTGGAAAGGTCCACGTAAATTTTAAATTGTTCTTTCATTCTTGGTCCGGTCGCATTCCTCCACGCTTCCCACGTATACAATAACTCATCGTAATCAGTCGAGATTGCCATAATCGACTCGATTTCTGCAAGGAACGGGAGAAAAAATTAATAATTAGATAGGCCTCGGGGGGTTGTAAGCCGCATTATGGATTTTAGTGGTTGTTGTAAAAGTGCCACACGGGATGAGATTTATAGGTTGGCATTAAATCGAGAGAGTTTAGCTCGCGTATAAGCAATATAATCAATGTGCTATAGCCCTATAGCACTAGTGTTAATGAAAAGAGTGCCAATCTACCTTTTTGTCACTGGAGATTTAGATAATTAAACACTTTAAACTAATCCTTAGTTTTAACTTATACACCATTCATGAAATTGCAGTTAAACAGTAAGGATAGATCCATTGTTTAAGCTTTGAATATAATTTTATATTCAAAATATTAAGTAAGTGACTAAAGGTCAAGGTATTCTACTTTCCTTTATGACATGACCTGATCATCAATCAGCTACAAATAAAGAGGCTTACAAATTCAATGTTTTGATTAATTTTACGCAAATTTTTTTGGAAGTCCTGCAAAAGGCAATGGATAACGCATGAGCAACGAGCTGCAACAATGCTGTAATAAATTGTATAACTGCAACGGGAGTCCGCCACAGCATTTCAATTTTATGTACCGCTCCGTATGAAGTGTGAGTAAGAGTAGATTTGGTAGCGATAACAACGGGTTTTGAGCGGGTTTTTTAGCGCAGACAGCAGTGAACCGTACAGCTTCATTGGTTCTCTTTTTCAGAGCCGGCAAGTAGATAAGAATCAAGTCTCATGGATTGGTTTAGAAGGGACGCTACTTGCGACTTTTGCGGTGGTTCCGTTTTTCCTTACCAGCATGGCAATATAGGAAAGAGAGAAAGAGACGCGCAACGAGTATTTTAGAGTACAGGGTCTTCCTCTAGAAATGTTGGTTAAAGCTAAAGATCATTCTTACGGAGCATGAAGGACGAATTTTTTGCCACGTTTAAAAAAAGTGGCCGAAGCTTGGTTTGCGTCGGGCCCGTTTCCGTTTTTGGACTTGACGACTATATTAGTAAAAATTGGGTAGGAGAAAGAGAGATTCTTCTCGGAACTGTCGTTCGTCGTGCGCGGCATTTTAGGTAGTGTAACATTTATTTCCAACTTTCAAGACGAATCCGTATAATCGAGGTATACGAAAGATTTAACAGCCACGGCATCGTACGATATATTTTTATTGCGAAAGTTAAACTTAATTTCCGAATTATAATGGAAAACTGAGCCACCAGTTCGACGAAATAATTGTCGTGTGTGCTTTAAAATTCATTGCGGATTCCCCCAACAAGAGCAACCCCGATCAGGTGAAGAAGCAATAATGAGGGTCAGTGAAGGCAACGTGACGAAACAACAAACCGGCCAGGCACCAAGTGAATTTGCACCAATTGACTAACACGATCGCGATGCTTATCCAAAGCTAAGTTAAAATGGAGAAGAAAATATGAGCAATACAAGAAGGTAAGAATAAAAGCAGAACACAACAAGAAGCGAGAAGAGAAATGAAAGGGATGCTTAAAAAAGTACTTGAAGAACTTAGAAAGAAACAGATTCATTTAGAAAATTATTGGGTAAACAAAACAATTCACTTAATACGAGATGCTCAACTAGTCGAATCACGTCACTCCCTCAGGGAAGTAGAAAATGTCCTAGTTGGACCTGGAGTTAACATTATAACACAACTTGCTAACCAATTTGAAAGAATTCAAGTGGTAAATGAAGAAGAAAGACCGAGAAACAACACCAATGGAAGAAGTAATGAGAAAAGGTGAGATCAACGGGAATTCCACTAGTCCCTTGGAAGTTACGAAGATCTCAGGAGCAAACAAATTTAATTAACTTTAGAAAAAATTATTTCCAGAAAATTAAAATAAAGAAAGAAACGAAAACATGAGTAGTAGTACGGCAAATGAAAATTGAAAAACCAAAGATATTTATAACAAAGAAGAAATTAAAGAGGATGAATCAAAAGAAAGAGTGGAGCGTTAACAGGTTGTTTTAGAGAGTTTGGAGAAGGTAGGAGGGCAAGCTAAAGAGAAATGGGAAAAGATAATCAAACCTCGAGAAGATATCCCTAGAGCACAAGAGTTAGCTTGGAAACTTCGGAAAGAAGAAGAGAGAATGGCTATTTTAGAGCGAGATCATTTGACGAATTAAGGAGAGTCACCTTCAAGTTAATACAAGAAAAGGAGACGAACCGTCAAGAAGAATTAGAATTATTAAAATATTCGAAGTCATTGGAAATAGAAAAAGAAATTGACAAATCTGCAAGAAGAAGTAACCAAGGAGAGAAGATATATTACGACAAAAGCGATAAAAGGTAATAAGAGAGAAAAATAATCAAATGATAAATACGAAAAGTGTAAGAAAAAGATTTGGAGAAATATTTAAAGGAGAGCAAGTCAATATAAGAAGCGCCAAGATGCGAAAGTGGAAAAAGGGAAAGAAAAAGAAGAAATGTATTACTTGTCCAGTTCCAATGTAAGTGAAATTACATGAAGTAAAATCAATAAATGAAGTGAAAGTGTTTTGTATACAGGATGTTTGTTAAACATGCGGCACGAGGTTATTCCTTGGACTTGGACTAAGAATATTATCTTGTGATGATTTTTGAAACAGCGCTATGTTGCGAAGATACAGGGCGAAAAAATATGAGTTGTTATCTTAGCAACATTTTTCAATTATATATGATCCGATACAAGTGTTCAAGCGCATATGAGGGTATGATCAGAGAAATTATTGCGTATCTAACTTTATTCGAGGTAGGTTTTTATTTTGTTTCGTTGTAAAAAGATCATTTCCTAGAATTATTAAGTATAGGGAAATTTTATCTCATTTTCGTTATCAATTTTGTTTTGCTAAATCATTTATGTGATAGTTCAGCTTTAATTTATTCGGGGTACTTTTTTTTAATAAAAAGTGGATGTAATTATCTAAAGATAGAGATGCATTTTAATCAAAATTGTTTGTTTTGGTAGAAAATGTATTTTACATAAGATAATTCCACGTCAAGTTTGCCTACGGGACTGGAGAAAGCATCCTGTAGGAAGGGTTCGATTTGTTTGTCGCGTTGCCACGCTCAGGCGATTGGGTGAAAAATTTCGATTAGTTTAAGGAGGGAAGACACGTTAAATACTGGGGAAATAAATAAATAAAAGAAATTGCACGTAACAGTTTAGGGTAGCAGCTTTCGTTGAAGTCATGTGTAAACAGTTAATTCAAATTTGAATAAAATCAACGCTTCTGCAACCTGTTTGGAAGGGTTGTTAAGAAGAGCAATCTAGTGCGTCCCTTTTTTTGTTTAGTGCATTTTTTCTTTCGTAATTGGCGGGGTATGTTTAAACGAACGCTGTCCAATTTTGATAATTAGGATTTTATGTTTACTAAAATAAATTTTGTTTATGTGAAATCATGCAAATCGTGTGTTTATTCGACCCCTTTACCGATCCAGATAGATTTCTCATTCTTAATTATGATTAATTTTGTTGATCCGTACCCTGTGTTCACTTCAGATATCTTTAAAATTGGTGTAAGTGATCCTTTTGGAATCAAAGGAATTTAATCGTGGCCATTGCTTGCCTTAAAATCTGGGTTATTTTAAATTTTTTTTACTGTAACGGGATTCGGATGTACGAGTATTCTGAGAGAGTTTTAATTAGAGAGCCGGTTAGGTTTAAGGTGTTTTGTGTACGGTTTCATTTTCGCCGAGGTAGTGCACACATCAGCCGAAGAAGGGTCACAGCAATATATGAAAAGTTGGAATCGCTTAGAAATAGCTGCTCGGTGTTTTAGGGACGACCCATATCTGCTCTCGAAATTGACCGGTGATGCCCAGAGAGGGTCCTACGAAGTGGCGGGGGGTACAGTTCAGTCAAAAATGAACAGTGCCGGGAAATTTCTCGAAAATCCTTACTTGGGGGTTTTCGCCGTCGGTCGCCGAGTCTATATTTACCTTTTAAATTGCACGGTGATGCTTAGGAGTGGCGCTACGGGGGTGCGGTCGAGTAAAAACTTAACCGTGCTGAGAAACTTTTCGGGAATGGTTACTCTGGGGTTTTCGCGGTCGCAAAGTCCAGATCTGCTCTCGAAATTCCCCGGGGATGCTCAGAGGTAGCGATACGGGCAAGGTTAATTTTCCACCTCTTTTTACCCCTTGCTACCCCGCACCACGCCTAGGTATCTTCGGAAAATTTTGAGGTATATCTGGATTTGGCGACCGCGACAATCCCGGAGTCATAATCTCCAAGCGGTTTCTCCAGCTTTTTATATATGTTTATAATTTTGGGACAAAATCCCTTGCCTAGTAGTTGTATATAAAGGTTTCCTTAGGAGTAAACTTCAATGATAAATTAGACGTACCTGGATCTAAAGATAAACCTTCCATTTTCAAATCGCATTTTCTCTTTCGATAAGGGCAAATTTTAGCGGTACTATAAATATTCATCATATTGGATCGTATACTCGAAAGCTGCAAATTTATAATTTAATTCCCGGTAAATACGCCGGAACAATATTTGCCTTCAGAAATTTAAAATCGTCCAAAGCCGCAATACCCAATTCCTTTAACATCGCGACTTGCCGCTGAATATTTACGTCCTGGTAATCAGACGGTGTTAGATGGCGAAAATATCTTTGCCAATAATCCTTCTCGAACCTCGCCGCCACTAATGTTGCCTGTATCTGCGAAGAATTTAGGCGAGCTCTAACTTTGTTTTATTATTGTCTTACTTTGGCCTTCTCCTTCTGTTTGTTGTCGAGATCAAGGGAATGCTCCCATTCGGTATGAACATGATTGTAGTAGAATTTCTGGGCTTTGGGTTCGTATTCTGTTAACAGGAACCGTCTCAGATTTTCCTCTTTAGATAACGCCTCGTAACATAACGACTTTGGTGCCAATGTTATGAAAATCAAACTTGAAAGCTGCAACAGACACATACAGTGAAATTCGCAAATATTTGTTCGAAACTAACAATGTAATTGCTTTTATTTAATACCATCGTCATAGCGTTCGACCGTAAATTAAACACAATGTGTGAACAAATAGCCTACTTTTGTAATTATTTCATTTTGTTGATGAATACGCAAATAAGAGCGAAATCAGCTGAAAATTATATGTTTGCATTATACATAATGCTAATTTCTGCAATCTCAATTCAATTAGTTGAAATTGCCGCGCTGCGGGTTAGGATTACCCACAACATAATTATCAGTTGAATCTTCTTCGCCCTTTCCTGCAGCACAGGAGTCAGGAGCCTTAGGTTGAGCCATGTTTTTTACCAAAAATCGACTGCACCAAAATTTCTCGGGAAAACACTTTTTCTTATTAATTTTGGTGCGTAAAATCCAAAACAATTCGTACTTTTTCGATCAGACTTCTCAATCAAAAGTTATAGACTAGAAACCAATTTCGAAAGAAAAATCAAAGGGCTGTAACTTTTGAACTAGTAGCCCAATCTTGGAACTGTTTGAAATTATGGATTCTACAGGCCACATTCTATAAGAAAATTTTTTTTTCCGGGTCGATCTGAGACAATTTTTTTTTCGGGGCTCAAAAAAAGCAGTGTATAACCTTCCTTTTTTACCAAAAATCGACTGCACCAAAATTTCTCGGGAAAACACTTTTTCTTATTAATTTTGGTGCGTAGAATCCAAAACAATTCATACTTTTTCGATCAGACTTCTCAATCAAAAGTTATAGACTAGAAACCAATTCGAAAAAAAATTCAAAGGGCTGTTACTTTTGAACTAGTAGCCCAATCTTGGAACTGTTTAAAATTATGGATTCTACAGGCCCCATTCTATAAGAAAAAATTTTTCCCTGGTCGATCTGAGGCAATTTTTTTCGGGCCTCAAAAAAAGGCAGTGTACAACCTTCCTTTTTTACCAAAAATCGACTGCACCAAAATTTCTCGGGAAAACACTTTTTCTTATTAATTTTTGTGCGTAGAATCCAAAACAATTCGTACTTTTTCGATCAGACTTCTCAATCAAAAGTTATAGACTAGAAACCAATTTCGAAAGAAATTTCAAAGGGCTGTAACTTTTGAACTAGTAGCCCAATCTTGGAACTGTTTGAAATTATGGATTCTACAGGCCACATTCTATAAGAAATTTTTTTCCCGGGTCGATCTGAGACAATTTTTTTTTCGGGCCTCAAAAAAGGCAGTGTACAACCTTCCTTTTTTACCAGGGGTTGAGCCTTATGTATAGGTTCACGAAGAAGTTTGACAGCCAAATAGTCTCTGTCTGATTGTGTGTATAGAAGGAATTTACGAGTCTCCACCATCTACAATAACTAAAATTTTTCGAAAGGAAAAGTTTCTTTATGGCTTTGTCCGTCTATCCGGCCGTCTGTTCTTCGTCTAACTCGAGAACGAAAAGCGACAGCGATGTCAAACCCTCCCCAACCGATTTCCATTTTTTCCAATTCAACGATCGGTGCTATTAAATATGAGCCGGATTAAAAGACGTGTTTCCGAAAGCAAACTGAGGGGCAAAAAATCCTCTACTAAGAGCATGCAGTACAATGTCAATTGTATTATTAGAAATAAATGCGGAAAAGTGGAATATTACCCTTTTAACAATATTTGCCGCGACGCCTTTTTCTGTCCCCTTCATACGTTATGATTATGACCTATTATTCAAGGCAAAAACCTTTGCAAGCTCCGAACTAGTTTTCCACTAGAGAAATATGTACTCAGATAACCGACAAGCTTAAAATTCCACCATAAAAGCCTGCCAGGAAAAATGTCGTGGATACATTTAAATATCTCACAATAACGGATCGAATTTTACAATGACATGACATACTAAGAAGCTTTAAACTTTAAAAATGGTAGCCCACCGCAGAAGAGATTATTAATTCAACTTTGAACTTTAAGGCTGCTAGGCTTTGTATACGGTTTTTATATGCACGAGAACACTTGAAAAGGAAAAATAAGCGGTTGATATTTTTTGCATCGTGTATAAAATTTTGAATATGCTTCAACAAACTTTTTAAAATATTAAAACACTATATCGACTTTATACATTGCTCGGGGTGGTTTATTATTGCAACCATAATGTACCTACTAAAAGCTTTTATATAGTATTAACATGAAGTGCCTGTAATTAAATTCAATTGGTAGTTGTGTGTGTTAAATAATTTACAAGAGCGTGCTCTTTCGACTACAAGATCTTGATACTCGCTAATTAATTTGCGGTAAATATGCATTACAGAATATAAAGTTGCGTAATCAAAGTTACAGCGGAAATTTTGTCCTGCAAAGTACGTACTATAAAAAAAGTTCTCATAATATCTGGCCCGAAGAAAACTCTTAAATAAACGCTCACAATAAGTGGTCACCCCATGGAGACACATTTCTTTTAGGGACAAAAAAGACATTTAACGAGCCACACCGGTAGCGGTCTCTCATCGAAATGACATCACCTCGAGTTCTCGACTATGATATTCTATTCTATTCATAAGCGCAATCCGATCAGGCAGCACCACGAACTTATAAATTAAGATGGACTGCTGATCAAACAGTTGCATAGAAGTAGAAATGGCCCTAGCATGGGCGCGGCCATGATGTGGTGCACGTTTTAGTTATTTTCTAGGGAAATTTTTCTAGTGCTTAAGTTTTAAGACTATTGCAGCCTTGGAAAATGACATGTGTCACAGTAATTTATTTAGAAAACGTGAGGTTGTTTATTAGTTGATTTGAATCTCGCGCCAAGTGAGTGCACATCATGGCTGCCTTCATGTAGGTGTCATTTGTCAATTCAGTATTAGCAGTCCATCTTAATTTATAAGTTCGTGGGCAGCACTTACACCCATTGTGCCCGTTACCCTTAATAAACAATAGGACTCTTAAGTTGCTTCACCTTCCCCGGTTCCAGATAACTGTCTGCCTCTGATCAAGGCCTCACAGTGACAGACCCTGTGCTCGGTACTTTCATCTGACTCATAACAGAACCGGCCGTGGGCTCTCCTACAAGCCAAATGATGTGAAGGTGATAGAATCCCAGATTTGGCAAGGGGCCTTGTCAAAAAAATCCTGGACTGTCAGTCCGATTGCTTATCCGCCCTTCTCTTGGCCTCTATTGCGCAGTGCGCTGGCATCAATCTTACCCTATTAGACTCACCTAATCTATGTAGATTTCGCCTGCAATCAAGCGCCGTAGCCGATCAGAACCTGGAAGACCTTCCATGTTCATACAGAACGTCCTCCATGATCCTTGTTTAAATCGTTGAATGTGGTCCTGCGATCAGCGTTATTAATCTTCTACCAAGGCGTTCTGTTCGTTCCTCGCAAATGTCCGCAGTTTACAGCTGTCCTCATACGATGCTATTATGGTGTCGCTTATAAATGCGGCCACCTCTTCCACCTGCTCTGCTTTCCGACAGAGAGCAAAGGTAGCCTAACCGCTCTGATAGTTTTGCCAAATAGCAGTCCACGTTAGTGGGATTGGAAAACCTAGAGGGCCCGCAGTGGGTTGCCAGGTTTAGTTGGAAAAGAATGTGCCTGTGGTCCGAAAGTGGCGGCTCTCCAATCTGGATCTGAGCTATTGAAAAGAATCTCAGCGATAACCACCAAATACCTGCTCCGTCCTTTTCCATCTTTCAGATGAGGTCTTTACAGTTACGAGAGGACCCTATCAGGCTCCTCCTTGCGGAAGAACGTCCTCCATAGGCTCGTCCTAAAACCAGGGTTTTGCCTCTGAAGGCACCTCAAGATATTATTCCGGATTTATGGTTCAGTGGTAGAGCGTTGGACTATAAATCCGGAGGTCGGGTGTTCGAACCTGGGTTAAGGTGAATTTTTCATCTGTGGCAGAGATGAGAATTACCTTAGACGATTTTGATGATATACTGCTCCATTTTAATTATTTGTTGATGAAGTTGCAGATTAAAAATGAATTTGTTCATCATTTACTCAGTATTCTGTAGGTGAAAACTACCTACAGAATACTGAGTAAAATTCATTTTTAATCTACACCTTAGACCAGTTTCGAGCATGCTGCCGACTACTCCGAATTAGGTTTTCCTGCAGTTTTCCTAATTCGTAAGGTAAATACCGGAGTAGTATAGAACTACTTAAGACCTTCTGCAGGGGCACCTCTAAAAATAATTATGCGGGTCACTCTGTAATTGGGCGCAAGCCTGTTGAGGGCCCAGAACAAGAGAGGGATACTAATTAAATAAATAAATAAATTAGTGACCCTGTCATCTGGGAGCCGTTAACACATCCATCATCTTGGTTACCCTGTCGTCACTCTGCACTTTTAGAGACGCGCCATCCCAGGGCCTTATAAGAGAGACGGTCCTCACCAACCAGTCCAAGGTCAACTGGTCCTGGCATTCGATCACAATGGCACCTTGCGGATACCAGCAGAACTCTACCAGTCGAGGAAAGGTCCCTTTTACGTCAGCAACTGCATCCATATGCACCTCGACTGAATGCGACGCAGCGACTTGCCCATAGGTTCGTGGTGCACCCGAAACTGCGCTGCAGAACCTCTAGGGTAGCCCTTGTCCAGGCCCTGGGGTAGTTCCCTTCAATCTGAGATGCTTGGTCCCTGACGTCGGGTTGCCCTCTTGAGCTAACGACCCAGAACACAGCCTTAGGCTTTGGCGCTTTCTGGCCATCGACTTTTGTCCGCCAGTTCTATTAATCTTGCGAATAGGATCAGGTCATTGAATAAGGCCCTGCTCTGGGGTCATCCCCTCTTTCGAGGAACCTGCTAGGTTACCGGACCCCTTTTGAGGGCCCGGCTTGTCGATACCCCCCCTGACGAAGGGTCCGGAAGGGCGTTGTCGATACAATTTCTACTAATTGTGCGGAAATGCGGACTCACCGCTTGCCCAGGGCTTCGTGAAGAGACCACCACTCCGAGGTCGCCCGATATCCGAGGGGAATGCAGTCCTTGGCACGGTCGTTAACACCTTAACTTGGGAGGTTGGGCCACTTATAACCGTTGCTACCCACACCGAAGTGCGAGTCACTTTACCAGCATTCAGGTGTCTATGTGGGCGT